ATTTTTTTCTGCTATTTTTCTGGGACAATGCTTCTTAAAGTATATCAGACTACAATTAGGACTCACCTCAGATCGCCAATCATCTGGTTTTTCTCTTCAATTTCATCTTTGAACCGCTGGTGTTGATCCATCGTAGCAACTCTGAGAGTCTAAAATGGAAAATTGAACAAATTATGTTTAGACCACAGAAGAATCTTTGCAAAACATAACAATTATTTGTATTTACATTCTCTTAGTTTAAAGGTGATTTGAAAATCAGGGTTAGATGGCAATTTATGTTTTGTTTTTAATTATTAATTTCCTATTTTCCTGACTCCTAGGTTCTGTCCCACCCATTGCTCTCCCATACATTTTGATTGAAAAAATATTATCTCATTAACTGAGTTTTTTGACAAACACCATTTTTTGTTTCAGAAAAATCAGTTGTACAACATATCAACAATGTTTTCCTCTGGTGCCTGGCTTTAATGACAAACACTGAAATCTAAATAAGTGGAAGGAAGGATAAATTAAAATGTTTTTATTTAATGATTTCATAATCAAAATTCTAATAATTAATTTTAATTCTTAAATAATACTATTAATAATACCAGTGATAATAATAACACCAGTAATAATAATAATAATAATAAAAACAATAAATAACAAACAATATAAATGTTTTTATTTAATGATTTCATAATTGAAATTTTAATAATTAATTTTAATTCTTAAATAATACTAGCAATAATATTAACACCAATGATAATAATAATAAAAACAATAAAGAACAGACAATAACAATGTTCACACTCACTCGCAGTTGTTTGAGTTCTTTGTCCTGCTCAATGCTTTTTGGAAGCATTTTTGCCAGTCCTTTTGTCAACTCAGAGCTTCCATGCTCTGTTCTACATTTTTTTTCAATATCCTTCAGTTGCAGGGAGAGGCTTGTGTGGCCTTCTTGCTCAGTCTTTAAAAATATAATGGACACAATTATCAAATATAATTATACAATACATTATATAGATTAAAAAATGTTTATGTTTAGATGTTGATGTAAACATTTCTATATATATATATATATATAGATTAAAAGGCAAAATACTGGAAAACAACAATGCTGTGGGAAACAATGGCTGGATCTCAGTGGAGATACAAAAATGATAAGCAACAGCTAA